CAGTATTATAATGGTATTCAGATGAACCACACGCAAGTACCGTATTGTAACAACCTCGAACCCGGGCCTCCGAAGGACTATACGCCTAAAGGCACCGGCCTCTGTTGTTATGAAGATGCTGTCTTGAGTTCCAGTGTTCATAGAAACCCAGACCTCAAGTATAGTATAAAATAATGGCTCGTGATATACAAGTGATGTCTAGTTAATTATTGACCCATACGTTGTGTTTAAATAAAGTAATATGTAACCCAAAAATTCTTTAAAGGTAATTGAGACATCTCTGTACTAAATATTGTAATAAAGTGACTCTGATGAACAGGAGAGGGAAAAGGGCAGGAAACTGAACTCCAAACGGGCCCCCAGTACTTCAACGCCCGAGGAATGTGGAAGCCCACAAGTCCAATAGATACCTTTCTGTATTCATAAACGCTCCATGTTCATCCCCACATAATCAGCCTTACGCATGCAAATTCTTCATGCATAAAACTTCATTGTAAAGATAACCACTAGAGCGTCCACCGAATACAAACGGTAAATTATCTGCTTCCCCCAGAAGAAGGATAAATATGGTGAGACCTGCCGTCTCTGCTAATAGATGCGTCAGCCACAGACGCTTGTGGTGCTTAAAAGCACCACGAAGAAGGATAGGTGATCAGATTCAGATGTCCTTTGCAGAACAAATGAAGTAGTTTAGAATAAACAGTCTTATGACTGACCAACGGACACCCAAGTGTCTAGTTGGTTAAGTAAGTATGTATGTTGTAAATAGGTATGTTATCAGTCAAATGACATGATTTCAACAATTATCTTTAGGTTTCCCTAAAGAGGTACCGGCTAGGCCGGTAAGCACCGAATATGAAATTGCACCGGTCAGTCAGCCTCCACCAATATGAGATGCTTTATGCAATTCCCAAATCACATGTGAGCATACATTCCTATCTGTTGTAGACGAGAGAGCAATATTTTGCCCATCCCAATAGAGAGTAGATAAGATATGTTGATCACATGAACTTCCTGAGAGCATATGGGCTTCTACGACCAGAAGCTGCCGTTACAACCATATCGAATGCTAGATAGTAAATAGATAGGTATTCGATGAAGATATGATAAAAGTTGTCCCATGACATTTGATGACAACCATTGTAATTAGTAGGTAAGTTGTAGTCATAGTTTTACTATGATGGGCACCATTTTAGCCAGTCATAAGAAGAACTTTAAGAACTTTATGACTAGAATATTACTTTAGATATGATTCATCTGAATTTGTTAGGTATAGGATAGGATGATAGGAAAGGATAACTATTATCCATTCTACCAGCCATACATATATTCTTAGATAACACAGTACTTAACAACATAGCAAGTACTATAAAATAATATTGTTGTAGATAGATGTTATCTACTGCCGGACACATTCCTTTCTGAAGGTATCAAAAATATAGTTGTAAATAAATGTTTATCCACTGCAGGACACATTCCAATACTGAAGACAGTTTTCTTTGTATGACAACAATACTGTTGTAAATGATTATTTATCCACTGTTGGACATAACCAAACAGAAGTAGATATCTATCTATTTATGTATACTTCATACATAGTAACATTAGTCAATTAAGTCCATAGTCGCTCAGCAACCATAGTGCAAATAGAAATCTGTCCACTGTTGGACTAAGCCAAACAGTAGGTAAGTAGATGGGCAAGGCCGCCAAAATTCGCGATTGTATCACAAAAGTAACACAAAATATTTTGTGTTACTGTAACACGAAAGTAACGCAAAAGTAACGCATTTTTTGGTAAGGCCCGTTTCATATGGTGACTAAAATAATTTAATTTTAAAAAATATGTTATAAAAAATTAAATTCTTTGAATATTAGCTTAAATAGATTGTTTAGATAGGGACAAGGCTGTAAGGTTAAAGAAGAGTAAAAACAATAAAAAACGTGAGTTACATACGATAATTATGGACCCATTTCAGTACCTCTTTTAGACGTGAAAATTATTTTATTTCCTAATATGTGACAATTTAGCGGTTTCAACCATTGCAGCCGTTTTCCCGTAGGAAAACGATGTTTTCCTGGGGTAAAAAGAAGCTTATGTTACTCAGAATTATGATCAACTACACATACCTACATACATTTTGAAAAGCTATGTGTTAACCAATATGAATGCGGCTTTACTTATCCAACGTGTTACTACTTTTTGCTTACTTTCGTGTTACGGTAACACGAAAGTAACGATAAAGTAACACGAAACGTATCACAAGTGTAACACGAAAGCAAAGTCTCTTCGTCAATTTTTGCTTATAACTCGCTTAACAACTACAATTAGAGGTTAACAGCCACTGTAATTTACGCATTGAATATCGTAGATAGCAATAATGGAAAGAAGTTACTAAAATAACTGTCTCTTACCGTAGAAATACTACTTCGAAAATATTTTTCATCACTGAGATGAAACTTACGTGTTCACTTTGCAGTCTCCTCCTGACGTAAAAAAATGGCCGATTCGTTATTTTTTTATTTTTTAGACGAAAGTGCTGCCATATTCACCTTGCAGTTTTGTTTTCATTTCTTTTAACTGCAGTTTTGAGGTATAAAATCGTAACACAAAAAATAACGTTACGCTAAAAACGGCATAAGTTTATTTTGTAATATCAATAAAACTAGTTAAAACACGAGTTTTGGGTACAATAATACTATCATAACATAGGACTCACGTCTAATATTGCAATGATTATACATTTGATGTGGATAGCCTTAATTTATTTTACAAATAGTTGATTACAAGGTTATGCACAAAAATGGACCAAAACGTATCACGAAAAAAACGCGAATTTTGGCGGCCTTGCCCAGATACAATATGTAAGTATGTTTCAAACACAAGAATTTTATCAAGTAAATCCTTAATCGCTCGGCAATTATAGAATAGTAATTTATCCACTGATGACCACAGCAAATAATATGTAAGTTTTAACCCAAGAACTTTATCCTGATCGCATAGCAATAATAATTAAAGTAAAATTATTTTAATTGAAGCTACATTATTTTGGTCGTTAAAGTCATATATATATATGGCATGATAGATAGATAAGTAAGGAATAGGAATAATGGGATTATAGGGTAGCCTACCTATTCCTAACATCTAATTTACCTATCTACCGACACACTAACTAGCCCAGATTTCCTAATTAAAGATTAGATGTGGATACTATAAAGTTTATATGAAACAATCAGAACGCAGATTCTTTAAAACATTCTGACCCGACAACAAAACAAAGTTATTGCAATAAAATGACCTTAGCACTAAAAACCAAAGCATAAGACCATGTTCCGAATCTTATCAGCTTTCAATGAATACAGAACTATCAAGCATAGGTAATTAATATGTTTGTAAACATTCATATAGGGAATATATACTGCTGATAGGGTTCGAAAGAAAGCATGAATTGTACTTATCCATCTGGAACTTGAAGCCACCAGCACACGAAGAACCAACAACGACGACATCCACAATGCCGATTCCAGTGCACGCTGAAGCACGCATCCTCTGTATCCAACAACACACCATACACGGGTTCAAAGCACTTTTCACAAACCAAACACACTCGCGAATCGAGGGTGACCAGGCAAACGTCGAGACTCTCTGGTCCACGGCACGACTCCACCAGGACTGATAGGTAAACTAATCACTGCACTAGGTATTCCTTTTCTGTCCTGGGAGACTTCACGATTAAAACTAAAACTGAACGCAGGCCGTATGGCTCGCTTATTTATACCGAAAAGCTTCGAACTTACGAGAAGAATAATCTTCTAGAAATCTGCTACTCATCACGAAAGAAGATATTCTCCTCTCTTTCATACACATTTTAGAAGACATTCGACTATTCTAGAATTTTTTAGAATGTCTTGTTTCGCTACTTGTTGCCAGACACCAATTCAGGGGTGGGTCCCTAGGATCCACGACCCATCCTGACATCCAAGAAAGACTTATAGTGTATATTAAGTAAACCACGGTTTTACCAATATTTCTAAACATTTTACTACTGGTTCATAGAATTTTTTGAAAATACATCAATTTTCTATAAACCGAAAATGTGACTAATAGAATAAATCTTAGGTATTTCAGTCGCTATGGCACTATAATAGGCCTAGTAGGGCCCTGTCTAAGGTGACACTTTGCAGTTTCCGCTACTCGACAATAGATGGCTCTTAAACAAAATAGCAAAATGTTATGTCCTGTATCATATAAGCACGAAAAATTATAAATGCTACTGCAAACGCTGTGCAACTATCAGCTAATTATCCAAAATTATTTAGACTTGCCTATACGAACGATACGATGAGAAAACCAAGAAAATAACTTAAAACTTCACTGTTTCATACACATAGCGCCATCTATCAGCTGTGTTCTTGAACTTCTATAACAATTTTGACAGAACAGAACCAAGTACTAATCGCATCTTATACCAATAGATGTCGCTGTTTCGAAATCTTTTAATAAAGGCCGAGACACATATGTGACAGTATTATATTGCGGGTTTTGTGCTATGTAAATTTTCGCACATGAAATAGGTAAATAAACTTGAAACTTGAAATTTTGTCTGCTTGCTAGCTTGCTGCTAGCAAATGACAGTATGGCAGCCGCATGCGGCATCGTTGCTGCGCAAAGGTGTATCGATTGTCATTCTACTATTTTCGTATTTAATCTTTCCATATGAGACTCAATCCTACACGTGTGGTAGTCGTGAAAAACGATTATGGTGTAAAGTCGTTTAGGGAAACGGCAGCAGCTTTCCCTATGAATGTGAATGCAACATCTTGCACTGTGCTCGCCAATGTGCTTGACAAGAGTGATCCTATAATATAGTGGTGAGTCCACATTATGAGTGGAATTCAAACCATATGATGAAGCTTGCTTAATCAATCTATTGGGATTGTAATGCACTCACAGTGCTATATTATTCTCACAAGTGAAAATAAGAAATAGAAAAGATATGACGTACATCGACCGGGGATCGAACCCGGGCCGCATGGGTAAACGCCCCACCGCTCTGCCACTGAGCTATCCGATGGACGCCAAATTTTCTATCTCTTGATGCTCGTCTCCAAGCGACGATCCAGCGACATCTATAAGTAGGTATTTAGAACTTACTACATGGTTAGTCCACATTATGAGTCGAATTCAAACCATATGATGAAGCTTGCTTTATCAATCTATTGGGATTGTAATGCACTCACAGTGCTATATTATTCTCACAAGTGAAAATAAGAAATAGAAAAAATTACATACATCGACTGGGAATCGAACCCGGGCCGCATGGGTAAACACCCCACCGCTCTGCCACTGAGCTATCGATGCACCGGTTGATGAATGCCAAATTTTCATCTCTTGATGCTCGTCTCCAAGCGACGATCCAGCGACATCTGTAGAAAGTATTTAGAACTTACTACATGGTATGAGTGGAATTCAAACCATATGATGAAGCTTGCTTTATCAATCTATTGGGATAATATAGCACTGTAAGTGCATTACAATCCCAATAGACAAATAGCAAAAATTTTATATTTCTGTGACTTATCTTGTTTTGAAGTTGTAGCAAAATGCTAAGAATGCAAAATGCTACTCCAATGCTACTTTGTAATCTATTTATCAGATCATTGAGCAAGAATTCTGATTCCGGACTGATTCACACTTCGACAAGAGCCAATTTCTCCTGCTAAGAAAGAACGGTAGGAAAACAAAAATCTTCTTACTACTGTACTAATAGATAGCATTCATCAACTCTTTTTGTCAACAAAAGGCAATGTGCAATACACCATCGATCTTGAAGACACAATAATATGCTTATTAATAAGTTCAAAAATCGAAAATCCGTAACTCTATCTAATCCGAATTTTATAGTGACGTGTGCAAACCCTGACAACAGAGGATGAGATGGATGAGCTCGATATGGGCGAAACATTGATCCACTAACTATGTTTGATGTTTCTGATGCATCTACTTACAATGGGATATTAGGAAATCCAGTGTTATGTGTGTGTGTAAGATATAGCACACACATTTGTCAAATGATGCGGTCAGCTAGCAAGCAAACGACTTTCTTTCATACTACTACATTTTAGTCATTTAGGTAGTCATTAAAAACGATTTTGGTATGAAGTCGTCTAGGGAAAGGACAGCAGCGTTCCCTGTGAATGCAAAATCCTGTGCTAGCCAATGTGCTTGACAAGAGTGATCCTATAATATAGTGGTGAGTATGGCAATAATCCACATGTAGGCCCAATCAGGTCCCTGTTCGTGAGAACTAGTTATACCCAACGACACGACTCTATCCCGAAAACGCTTAGCTCAACTTTTCCTAAACCAAATTACAAAGCCTATAATGACAATTTGAACCTCCAATAAAAAAATACGGCAATCCGGAAAAAAAACTATGGAACGTTACAGACCATTTTATCTAAGGGATCAAACTAACTTTTATTTCTATCGTTTTGTCGCCAATAAACCCAATCCGAGTTGCAAAAAGTCACCTTTATCCGCCTTCGTTGGGAAAACTGAATTCAATACAAAAATTCCCAACGAATCAGATAAGTTTAACCGAGTTGCCGGCTCCCGGTCCTCGATAGCAAAACAACAATAGCGGGGCAATTGAATCAGTCTGCAGCTGGGTAGCGTTTGTACAAACCCTACTTCAGCACATACATAAACTAGTATAAATCCTACAACAGCACAGAAAACTTAAAGAAAAAGCATTCAAACCCGACTATACTACAGCAGAGATAGAAACCAGCACGCTTCCTCTTATTCCTACTACAGCTCCTATAGACAATTTTATTTACCGGGTTTCCGGTTCAAAGTCTTCGAAAGCGTAACAATAATAGGGCAATTGAATCTGTCTGCAGTAGGTTAAGGTTAGTGCAATCCTTATTATAGTTACGTAATCCTATATAAACCCTACAACAGCACAGAGATAATAACCGCATCCACACCCAACTTTCCTACAGAAGAGACGCATCCACACCCAACTTCCCGACTTTACCATAGACAGAACTTTCAGATATACTACAACTCAGAGATAAGTGTAACCGGGTTCCCGGCTCCCGGTCCTTGAATAGTGCGAATCCCTGCTGAATCACAGTACAGAAAACTATAATCAGTCTGCAACCTGACAGCGTTTGTAAAAAGCATACATGTGCAAAGCATACTATAGGTCAGGCAAAAGCCTGTACGGTCAAAACCTACTACATAACATTGTATTATTGGTATTTTGCTAAGTGGATTTAAACTCAAACAGAGTCATCTGAGTTGCAGTAGCTTTTGAATAGTTTGTTAATAATAACACTAGTTGGGAGAAGTAGAATTTAGATTTATGCAACCCGGTAGCCAGCTTGCAAGCTTGTAAATGGAATTTGTATTCAAGACACTTTAAAATTGATGGAAAACCTATCAAGTTTATTAAATGCACTATAAAAACTAATTTACTACGAGACGTATATGCTAGGCTAGGCGAGAATACACGTAACGTCCGTCCGTTTGTGCTTTATTTTATCTACACTCATTTCGTACGTAATGAACTGCATTAAGAAATATGCAGCCTTAAAAAATAATTTCCATACTAAAATTTGAATCGTTATGGAACGTAATGTCTATAAAAAAATACTAAACGAATATGCCGCTTTTTTATTTCCTGAGTCAACAGTAAGTCAAATAAAAAGAAACAAATGTCACCCGGGCGGGACGACACTTGAAATTATGAGGACTTTTTTATTATTAAATCTTTGCTTCAAATCATTTTTCGAATTATTAACCAATAAATGCTTTTTAATTTTAAAAGTTATTCAGGTTTTATGAGCCTCCATTTTAACGTTTAGTTAAAAGTTACTTATGTACAAAAGTTATTCAGTTGCTGGTTCAGTAGATAGGCTTGCAATCGCCTTAGTGCAATGCGGAGGTTTGAATTATATTTCATAGTTTTTCTTGTAGAGTGTAGATAAAATAGTGTATTCAACTGTATATAATTAGGCTTTACAATGCTCGTGTCAAACTATTATCACAATCGGCTGCGCCTCGTGTGATAAACTGACACTCACATCCTAAAGCTTCTCATTATAAGGCAATTGCATAAACTACTATTTGTGCAGTGCTATCAAATGTTATTTTCCGTTATAGCTTATGTCAAACCGTTTGACGTAAACCGTATTTGTATCGGAATAAATTCTAAATTCCCTACCTAATGCATGTGGGCAGCGCTACAAAAGCGTAACACTGGACGTTTTACGTGTGTTTCTCGCCGCCAGAGTAGGATTTCCCCATTTTGTAATACAGGTGTCGTAAAAGCCGACATTTTACGTGACAATGTAATGACTTAATGAGAAATGACCCTCATTTTTAACCCCTGACGAACAAACCGGAGGGGTGTAAGTTTCACGCGTCTGTATCTCTGTGTGTCTTGATTCTTTGAGGCAACGTATCTTCTAAACGACTGAATTTTATTAAGAGTGCCTGACTCGCTCTTGGCGATTGTTTGGGTCCGGATATATCAATACATTTAACATAACATAACAAAATTCTTTATTGCACAACATACAAGGTATAGTACAACAGAAAAACACAAGCAAAAGAAACAGTACAACAGGCGGCCTTAATGCTAGGTAGCATTATCTGCCAGGCAACCTTTGGGTAAAAGAGAAAGTGCGACAATGGAAGCGGGATAGTGCAAATATTATCTACCAGTAATACAGAATTATTAGTTTTTTATACAATAAAGAAATAATTTAAAATTAAACAGAACACAAATTCCGATTATAACAAAAGCTATAGTACGTATTTAAACGACCAATAGCTAAACAATTATTGGTAGCGTTAAGCTACTAAGCTTAGTATTAAGCTACTGCACAAATCAGCCAACTGGAACTAAAACAATGCAATCATTGCCACAGAAATAAATTTATTTAAACATACCTACATATATCACGCCTTTATCCCTTGCGGGGTAGGCAGAGAGTAAAAGGCTGTAAATACGACCATTTACACCACGTCTGACAACATTTTGAGAATTATTCAGAAGGTTATGTATATTCACTATTCCTCAAGTGACAAGTTGTAAGCCCGTCGCCTCAAATTGCAATACATTTTAAATCTCAAATCCCTTACCTGTTTCAGCATATTCAAAATATTAGACTTGGTACCCTTATTTTCTAAGCGTCGCGACAACGATGCGCGTCAACGACGCCGTCAAATTTTGACGGCGTCGTTGTCGCTGCGGTCTTGTAAAAAACCCGACCGCATCCCATACAAACTCTAAGCTCCTCAGCGCGCTGTCAACGTGACGGCGTCGTGGCGCGCCGCAACGACGCCGACGCTCGGTCTTTCTGGTTCCCCATACAAACCAGTCGCTTGGTTTTTAAGCCTACCATAAAGGGGTAAAAAAGGGGTTTTAAACATTTGAATGAAAGTTTTTAAGCTACTGTTCTTATACCAAAAAGCTAAAAACTGTAAATAAAACCGCAGGCGCAGAGCTAGTTTTTAATATTTCCTCGAATTTCTAAGTTATTTATATAGAGACAAAACCATTTATTCTGGAAAATCAAGTGTCTTTAACAAGCGAAATTTACCGCACTTCAAACAATTTATGCGGAAAATGCCAAAAATATCTCTACCTCAGCAAAATAATAAAGTGTTCTTGTATTAAATTAAGAAAACTTGACAGTCCTTGCAGAAGTACCGGACCGGGTATAGGTATTTATAACTTGCTTAGTAGCAATAATTCTATATACAGAGTGTTTTTATTTAAGTGGTCCAAAGAAAAAAAACTAGATTCTGGACCTCCTTAGCTACAAATCTGAAATATTGTTTTTAAAATTCGAAGAAAAGAAATTGACGCTCCAAACACAGTCAGCTTTATTTATAAGTAAGGGGTGACCATTTTTTTTTGTCGTACCTATATTAAAAAGCAAAATTCCAGATTGGTTGCTAAGGATATATAGTACCTAGCTTTTTCTTTCGACCACTTAAGCAGGGACACCCTGTATATCCCTAAGGAATATTTTTGAGAAATAAAAAAAATACTTCG